TTTTTTCTTTTGAAACCAAAGCTTTATTAGCAATCCGTGAACTGATATACATCACTCAATTAGAGATTTATCCAATTTCACATTCATACATCTTTAATTTTTGTAAGGATATTATATTACGGTAAATGCCAAGTTTGCTAGTCTTTTGTCTTTTAACATGTCGCATATCTTTTTTTTATTTAAAAAAAATTAAAACTTTATCAGGAATCTGTAAGTGGATATATATCATAACAAATAGTTAAGTATAGCTAAATATACAGTCAAAACCAGCACTCAAACGGAAAAAAAAAAAAAATCTAAACAAGAGTCACAAGCCTAAACTAGGAAGGACTCTAAATATACAACAAAATATCATGTGTATAGGCTAGTAACATCCCACACCACCCATACAGTTTATGTGTGCATGCACTTCTTTATGTGCGAATGTCAATGTGCTTCATTCTTCTATGAAAAACTGGATTTTTTGTCATTGTAATTAATGTTTTGTAGTCACAAAAGATTTTTTTTACTTTTTTTTACTCTTGATAAAGATCAATAAAGAGTCTTCTAAATCATATAGTTTGACATACTAAGAAGTGGAAGCAACATTTTCTACCTCAAAGGAAGATAAAGTTGGTATAGTCTGCTTCTTGAAACTTCATGTTAACCCAAGACCAAAAATACTTTCATAAGTGCTCTTTCGATCACTCAAGCAACCTACCAAATCACTATCAATGACCAACTTAAACTTTGAAAAATGAGTATACTAGATTCAAAAATCTGATGTTCCGACAACATAATGCAGGATCCTTTTTGCAACTCTAAAGTAGTGTTCATGAATCTTGATATTATTTTAGTAGAAAATGAAATATTTGGTCAAGTATGAGCCAAATAAATTAAACCTTCAACTAAACTACTGAAATTTCTTGCATTAACTTTTCATACCATCTTCAAGTTGTAACTTTTTTATTTACATTCATAATTGTAGCTGTAATTTCGAAGTTAAACATGTTAAAATTTCTAAGTAGAACATAATATAGGATTCCTTTTGCAGCTCTAAAATGTGTTTTGTAGGACTATTCTTGTCACGAACTATACCCCGTCTTACAAGGTAATGAGTGAAACATACTTAAATAGCATAAACTCGAATTAAGTAAAATAACTTAATTTTATTAATCACAACAGAGTTACAGAAGTGTTACATCTCTTAAATGTAAAAATAAATATATGTACGATACTCTAAATTTTATTAGTTACATTACTAAACAAAAGTATAAAACAGTAACATTAATTTTATAGTTAATTTTAAATTTTTTTCTCCATATCACCGCTCACTCTGCATCAATATTTTCAGTATCTGAAGGGTGATAGGGAGAAAAGTTTTGAAATTAAACTATGAGATTAACGTTATCGTTTCATATTTTTGTTTAGTAATATAAGTAATAAAATTTAGAGATTCGTATATATTTTTATATTTTACTTTTAAGAAATGTAATACTTCTGCAACTCTATTATGATTAATAAAGTTAAGTTATTTTACTTAATTCGAATATATGTAATTTAAATAAGTATCATCTGGTCATTAATCTATAAAACAAGATACAGTCCGTAACAATTCATGAACCTTAATACTATACCAACAGAAAATCAATATTCAGTCGAGCATGAGCCAAATAAATTAAACGTATAACTAA